CTCTCTCTCTCTCTCTCTCTCTCTCTCTCTCTCTCTCTCTCTCTCTCTCTCTCTCTCTCTCTCTCTCTCTCTCTCTCTCTCTCTCAGTGGCCACGCGGTTGGAATGTGCAAAACGGGAATGAATTTTCCCGTGTTGTCGGGAAGATTCATTCCGTTACTTTGAATCTCACAGAGAGAGAGAGAGAGAGAGTCGGCGCCAAACTCGGCTCTCTCTCTCTCTCGGGCTTCTTTGTTTTTCAATTTCTTTTTTTTTTTGGGCAGAAGAACTGTCATTTTTTTGTTTTTTTGTTTTTTCTTTGTTTTGATGTGTACCTACCGGTAGCTCGAGGCTCGGCAAGGTTCGGCATACCGGTAGGCTGAGCCACGGGCCTTAACAACCGCTAGGTACTGGCGGTTTAAGAGGTTCAGTTTTCAGCTGATTTCACCTCTGGAAAATTTGTTTGAGTACAAATATTTATTGCACTAGAGTTGGATGTATCAGCAAGTGTAATTTCCCTACCCTTAAATGCATTCAGTATATCATTATCACTATCGGCGATCATGTTTTCCACCTGATTTGCAAGTCTTTCATGACCTGCAACAGGTGCAGATTCCGTTGTTGCTGCAACTGACAGCGCAGGAAATTCTGCAACCGTTGCAGCCCTGATATCGGAACCAGCAATCGCTGGTCCCAGCTATAGCAGTCCATACATGGCCGGAAGGCGATGATGATACCGTCCAGGTATGGCGGCAAGAAAAACGTTGAGTCTTGAATTAGCTCCACGAGAGCTTACCTTGAGGTACAAGGCACTCAAAGAGTGAACCAGTCCTTGATCCTAGGGACAAACGTCGAGACTGTCGTACGGGCCTTCCTAGAAGTCCAAGCTATGCAAGTTGGGTATGCTAAGCTCAATCTGACATAGTGACTTAAAGTCACTCCGGTAGCCACTCTCAAAGAAGTGATGATTACACAATATAAGGACCCACATGTTGCAGCAAGAGTAACAACTTGATGACCTCAAGCGCAGCAAGTGGCAGGGTACCATGCACAAGTTGCATTTGCACGTCAGCAAACTCTTTGCTACTCCAAGGCTGGAAATGGCTGCGCAATCGTGCTTGGATGTAATGAAAGGTATGGTTCTCACCACTTTTACACCACCTAGACAAAGATCTGATTGGTTATACTAACTGGTTCTCCCTCATGACGGACGTAGTCGTTTGTCTTGTTGTGGAGGCTGGAGGAGAGGCCGAAGCAGATGACCCCACTCCTGGTGTCGGCCAAGAACAGGATGTTGATACAACCTATTCTTCAGCCCATAAGTATGAGACCAATAACCAAAAAGTTCAATGCCTTCAAAAAGACTGCCCATGGTAAGGGAAACCATAATCGAAACTTGGCAAGGAACATTGTCCATTCCCTAAAGGAACCAAATCCCAACCAATCCAGAGGATATGAGTACTAAACCTTGGGTTGACCTCCGGATCAGTGATGTAAAATGGAAGGCTATGATAAAGAACGGCGTTTGCCTGCACTGCAAAAAGACTAATCATAAGGTTCAAGGATGCTCTAGGTTGCAGGAAAACCAGAATCGTGCGTAGAGAGTTCGTCAGCACTCTACAACAAGGGAGTTTGAACCGGTAAATGGTAGTTTCCCCAAGGAACTTGGCACGGTCCAGCAGTCCTCCCTTGAAGCCCCAACTTCTACTCATTCCAAGGTTGATACTTGTCATGTTTTATATGTTGAGCCGTAGGAGGAGTCTTAGAAGGTCAACTTTCGCGATCACCTAGAGCGTTGGGTTGAGATGAAACATCAACATGCTCAAAGGACAGCGAAGTTAATCTTCTTCAAACTTCTCATTAACCACCGCCATCTTCGTGTCTTGATTGATTGTGATGCCACAACTAACTTTATATCATCACACGAGATACGCAAAGTGGGCTTGGGGATAAAGCAATTGGCTTTGCAGAGCCCTTGCCAGACTTAAGTAGGCAACTTATAAGTTTTCACATCCACGCATGCAGTCAAAGGTGTGCGCATTACCTTTAACAAGGACAAAACTATCACGCACACGTTTAACTTCTCTGTCCTTGACAAGTGTCCCTTAGACGCAGTCCTGGGGTTGGGTTGGGTTGGTTGCAGTCCTCAGATTGGACCAAGTGGAATGAATCACTTTTCATGGTCAAAGATGCTAAGAGGAACGAGTGTCCCCGTCCTCTTGGATGAGAAGCACGAATCCCCAGTGACTTTTCTTAATCTCATGCAATTCTGCGACAGGTGGTGTAAGCACAAGGAGGATGAACAGTTGTATGTCGCCTTTATTCGCCCTACTCATGTGCCTTCTACTTTTGTGGCTTGTAATAGTTATACTTTGCATAATAAGTCTCCTTCTACCCCCCCATCCACTTTTATTCCAAATGATTATACTTCAGATTCGGTTGCCTTCACTACTATTCTGCAACCTGGTTTACGTGATCCTTTTTTTAATCCCCCACCCCCAGAAATCCCAGCAAACATCCAAAGCCTACTCAACCAATTTTTGAGAGTTCTGGTTGAACCGCATGGAATCCCCACGCGATCGATCGAACACACGATTGAGTTGGTCAAAGGCATTGTTTCTCCAAAGGGTTGTGTGTACCGTATGGGATCTGCGAGTGGGAGGAACTCCGGAGGCAAATCAATGAGATGATTGACAAAGGGTGGATCACGCCAAGCAAATTTGAAACATAAAAAAGAGACAAGCTTCGAATGTGTCTTGATTACCGCGGTATAAACCGCATCACAAGAAAGAATGCATATACATTACCACGCATCGATGATCTACTTGATATTGCAGGTGGGTGCAAGGTCTTCTCCAAGATCAATCTCAAGTCTGGTTACCACCAAATTGAGGTCAATCATGCAAACCAGCACAAGGCCGCATTCAAAATGTGCGATGGGTTGTACGAATTTAACGCCATGCCCTTTGGCCTCACGAATGCGCCGACCACCTTCCAGTGTCTCATGGACAAAGTCCTTGGTCTCCACTTACAGAAATCTGAGTTTGGGAGGGACAGCGTCATCTATCTAGGGCACCAGTTGTTTGTTGCAGGCCTAGGGCCTAAAGCAACGAAGGTTGAGGTCATACGTGATTGGCCTCAATCGGCGAATGTCCATAAACTTCGTTCCTTCCTTATTGAAACGGTATTCACCAATTCGTGGTAGTTGAGGTAGATCCCAGGGCTCGATCCCTAGTTCCCCAACTTACCTGTGTACAATACCTGCGTCAACTCGAAGAGTTGAACCTACGACCTGTAGAACCGCCAGTGGTAGGTAGGTCTGTCGTAGGTCTATAGGTAGCCAGGATTCGATCCGTAGACCT